GGGTAATATCCCCCATTAGACATTATTCTTGGGGATAATTTATGTCGTGAACTAATTGGCTGTGTAACCCACTAACAAGGGCTTGCCATGGACCATGTAATAGTTTGGGTGTAATTGGGTAAGAAATTGGCGTTACAAGACCACTGCCTGAGTTACACCTGGTGAGAATATTACCGGAACTTCTCCTACCTGGTAACTAATTGGAGGTGTTGTTTACCTGTGTGTGTGTGTCATAAAATAATTAAGCTTCATCGTATCTCTTTAACAATGCACCCTCTCCCCCTCCCCTCCTACCCCCTCCCCCTCCCCCCTCCCATCTTACCCCCCCGCCCATTCATTTCACCTTAGCTGTTAATAAAGGCGTATACCCGTAACATTGTACCTCTCTTATGACAGCTACATAGTGAATGGACCCTAACAATGTATAGTGTATAAGGGCCATCTGTTTCACCCCTCAATGCTTAGTGGTCTGTGTCTTGTGTCTATAGAGATGTGACCGTTCCGTGTGTATGTGTGTGTGTTGATCTGATAGGGAAGGTTATTGTGGGTATTGTGAGTTGTATGGTTGGTTGTGGTGTAAGGGAGGGAAGGAAGGGGGTGGAGGATGGATGGAAGGAGTGAAGGATGGAGGGAAAAAGGGGAGGGAGAAAACAGAGAAGGTAGTAGAGGGCGGGCTGGAAAGGGGTGGAAGAGGAAGAAGGGAAGAAGTTAGAAGAGAATTGGAATGGAAGAGGTAAGGAAGGAGGGAGGGAGGGAGGGTAAGAGGGGTTAAACAAGGACCCTGCCACTTGAGGAAGGCGGCCCCGTCAAGGCTATGGTCTTGAACGCTTCCCTCCCCCCTTCAACACCACCTCAAGTGACTCTCTCTCTCTCTCTCTCTCTCTCTCTCTCTCTCTCTCTCTCTCTCTCTCTCTCTCTTGAAGGCCCTTCTTGGTGGATGTACTCAAGTGTGTCTTCTCTGAATATAAGGGCTGTGTTTATCTCTCTCTAGTGTCTGTCTGTCACACACACACACACACACACACACACTCACACACACACAATAGACACTCACCCGGCTTCTTATATATATAAAGACAAACACTACAGCGCTCATAGACCCGACCTATATATCCACACACCACACTTGAGCATAATAAACCAACACCATTCATTATCTGAGAGAGAGAGAGAGAGAGAGGTGATTGGGTAGGTCTATATGCCTTGAAATGTGGTAGAGGGTGACCTAGATTTTTTCCCCTACCACCACATCTACCACAACTACTGCTATTCCTATCATTACTACCATCTACCACTACCCAGTATCTCTACCACCACCACCTAGTATCACTCCCAACCCCCTCTTACCACCATTAATTCCTACTACCACAATCACCAACCACCATCAGTAACAGTAATTTAAGTTTTTTTTCATTGTCTCTTTTTTGGGGCTAAGGTTTATCCATTTTGCTCTCTCTCTCTCTCTCTCTCTCTCTCTCTCTCTCTCTCGTCAAAGCTTCGTTAGTCGGAGTTTAATCACTACTTTTTCTATATTTTTTTATTCAATTTTGAAATAAGGTCATAAATTTTCGTCAAGTAATTTGGTGATTTTTTTATTGTGTAGTTTTTATTCGTTTATTGTTTTTATTTATGAGAGAGGGGGGGGGTGTATGCGTTTTTGTGTATGTGTACCTGTATATATGTGTGTTTTGTGTATATCAGTAAAGGCTTCACCTACACAAACATAATATAATTTACCAGAATATATTAATTTGCCTTAATCCCTGGAGACAGCCTTAATAAATTACCTGATTACTTAATTCCTCGTGAGGGATGGAGGGAGAGATCAAATTACTAGCCTTTGTTTATGTTCTTTTCGTTTGTTTATGTATATCCGCCTTCCATCCGGATTCACGCGAACGCCGCTGCGCTTTTCTTTTACGAGGGGAGGCATCGTTCAGGGTCTAAATTCTTCAAACAATCACCGAGTTCACGTAAATAATTTAAACATTCCCGTATATCTTCACTTCCGGATTCATTAGTTGGGATGAAATAACCACATAGGGAGTATCTAGACACCTGAGCCTAGATTGAAACAGGAATTTTAAGAAATTTACGTCTCGCATAAAACAAATAACGATCGCCACAACAACAGTAATTAAGTCTCGTAACTTATGAGGATTATCTTAGATTATGTAAATACCCCCGTTAATAAAAGACCACAACTGAGCCAAATGTATCACGCATTTAGTAATTATGTTTTCCGGATAATATATTGATGATTCGGTTTTTGTTTTTCCTGCATCGTTTTCAGAAGCATCCAGATTACATGTCGGATCTTGAGTAGTTTATACCCCCACCAAAACAAATGACGATCATAACAAAATATCCCTTAATTAACTCTCATAACTCGTCGAGATTATCAGAAATAATTGATAATTGAAGAGTAAAATATCAAAAAATCTATGATAATTGACGAACATAACAGACACCAAAGGAATCCAATACATCACATTGGATTATATTTTCCCGTCCAAATTTCCTCGCGTTTATATTTTTCCCCGCGCTTATGTTTTTTTTCCCCGCTCTTCCTCACATATACTTTTTTTTTTCCCTAGCGAATTTTCGTGAGGGAAATTTTGCAACCTTCACTGTGGCTTCATATTTATTGAAATACTTTGTGGACGTCGGAGGATTTAATGAGCCATGGGGAGAGGGGAGGTGGGGAAGGATGGATGGGCTGAGTGGTGAGGGAGATATGAGGGTTAGGAAGGGGGAAGAGGGAAGGAGAAAGGAAAGGGGAGGGCGTGGGATGGTGATGGGGGTTAGATTAGGGAGTTGTTTTGGGGGGGATTGGGATTAGATATGGCGGTAGATGAGTGAATAGATAAAGAAAGTAGACTAAGCTATCTATCTATCTATGTCTAACGTAAAAAAGAAAGATGGTTGCAATATCTGGGAGAGAAACTGCAATATGATCAACATTTGCAACATTAACACAAAACAACACTCATTATTTTGCAACGGAGGTAAAAAAAAATAATGTGTTCCTCTGTATTTGCAACAATTACTGAAACAACAACAATAACAACAATAATAACAACAATAATAACAACAGTACTGATAATAAACAATAACATAGTAATATTTTTCTCACTGTCCTCTCTCCCTCCCTCCTTCCCTCCCTCCCTCCCTCCCCCTCCTCCTCCTCCTCCCTCCCTCCCTCCTCCCTCCCTCCCACCATTAATGTTAATTTTAAGTTAATATAGGATAATGATTTCTTATCAGTGGTTCCCAAACTTACAAATATTTGGAGTTGTTGCTGGAGGAAGAGGAGGAGTAGGGAGGCGAGGAAGGGGAGAAGGAGGAGGAGGAGGAGGAGTAGGGAGGCGGAGAAGGGAGAAGGAGGAGGAAGAGGAGGGGAAGGGGAGAATAGAGAAAAGTAGAAAGAGGGAGGTGGAGGAGGGTGGGAGGAAGAGTAGACAAGGAGAAGGAAGAAGGAAGGAAGGAGAAGGAGGAAGGAAGGAAGGAACGAAGGAAAAAGGATCTAGGAGGAATAATATGAAGATGAGGTATGAGGATGAGAGAGAAGAGGCTGAGGAAGGAGGGAAAAGAAGGAAGGGATCTCTCTCTTTAAGGTTGAGTGGACGAGGTGAGGCCTGGACAGGTGTGTGAGGGCCCAAGCAGGTGTGTGAGGGCCTGCTATTTTGTGAGGGCCCAGGCAGGTGTGTGAGGGCCCGGGCAGGTGTGTGAGGGCCCAGGCAGGTGTGTGAGGTCCCAAGTAGGTATGTGAGGGCCCGGGCAGATGTGTGAGGGACCGGGCAGGTGTGTGAGGGCCCGGGCAGGTGTGTGAGGGCCCGGGCAGGTGTGTGAGGGCCCAGATAGCAGTGTTCCTTCATGCTCGGCTGATCAAGTTGATCACTCACTCCCTCTCCCTCCTACTCGTCTCTCCCTCTCAGGTTACCCCCCACTCGTCTCTCCCTCTCAGGTACCTCCCACTCGCCTCTCCCTCCCAGGTACCTCCCACTCGCCTCTCCCTCCCAGGTACCTCCCACTCGACTCTCCCTCTCAGGTACCTCCCACTCGTCTCTCCTCCCTCTCTCATTAAAAAATCTTCACCAGGTATCAGTAATCAGTGGCTGGGTGATCAGAAAATCTTACCTTTAATTTTCCTCGTAACTTTGCGACGTAAGAGACCGTATCTTACTGGCTGACTTAAGTTAATACTCTTAAGGTCGTAAGTGTTATTAATTCTCGTAACTTTAAACTTAAATTATCCTTTCTGACTGACTGACTTACGGTTAAAACTCAAAATTATCGTAAGTTTAATTCGTAATTTGAGACGTAAATTATCTTATCAAGCTGAAAGGTCCCCCCAAAAAATATATCCCTTGAGATGGTATGAGAATTAGACGTTAATTAGAGCAGCCAGGTAAGAAGGTCCAGGTGAGCACAGATTTGAGGTGTCACTTCATTAACAGGTGTTGTGAGGTGATTAGGGGAGAGTGTCTCTTAGGTGAACCCTCTCTCTTGTCGGTAGTGAGAGAGAGGGGGGGGGGGAGGAGGAGAAAAGGGTGAGGAAGGGAGAGATAGAGGAAGAAAGGGTTAGAGAGGGTGAAAAGGCTGGGGGTGGGGGAGGGAGAAGGAAGAGGGGAGGAGGGAGGAAGGGGTGAGAGGAGTGAAAGGTGAAGGAGGAGGAGGAAAGTGTAGGGAGAGAGAGATAGTGTGTGTGTGTGTGTGTGTGTGTGTGTATGTGTGTGTGTGTGTGTGTCAATTCTCCCTTTGTATATATAAGTTTACTATATAATGTGTACATGTATATACACCTTTTTACCTGTCACTTCATTTATAACATTGAGTACGATGATCTAACTCCAGAGAGTACAGTGGCATCGTACTCAAGGGGTTAACATCGTACCAAGGAGGTAACATTGTACTCATGAGACACAAGACCACCCCAACCCCACCTATTTCTTAAGGACTATCTTATCTCACCTGTCTCACTTCTCTCTCTCTCTCAGGTCAAGACTACAACTTCAACAAGCTGACGTCAGAAGAGGTCAATTCCCTGGGACTTCGTTATGATTTCAATTCCATCATGCACTACGCCAGGGCTATGCTTGCTGCACACACACACACACACACACACACACACAACAACACCTGTCTCATTAATACCTGTACCTGTGTCTCTCTTACCTGCATCTCTCTCTCTCTCATCTCCATAATTTATTTCTCTTCTCTTTCACTTCCTCCCTCTCCGTCTCCCTCTTCTTCTTTCCCTGTCTCCTCTTTTTCTTCCCTCTTTCCCTTTCTTTTATCTCACTTCTCTTCTTTCTTTCCCTTTTCCTAATATTTATCTTTTTCCTCATTCTCTCCTTCTCTCTTTAATCTTTATATCTTGCAAGAAAGACAAACAGACAGACAGACAGACAGAAAAGAGAGAGAAAGACAGACAGAATAATGCAAGAATAAAGGTTAATTTAAGTTTATTGTGTTGCGTGCCACCTCTGACCTCTAGTGAGTGCCACCTCTGACGCTCAGTGAGTGCCACCTCTGACTTGGTGACCTAGTGAGTGCCACCTCTGACCTAATGAGTGCCACCTCTGACTTGGTGACCTAGTGAGTGCCACCTCTGACCTAATGAGTGCCACCTCTGACTTGGTGACCTAGTGAGCCACCTCTGACCTAATGAGTGCCACCTCTGACTTGGTGACCTAGTGAGTGCCACCTCTGACCTAATGAGTGCCACTTGACTTGGACCAGTAGTGCCTTACTGGTGACCTAGTGAGTGCCCTCTGACTGAGTGCCACTACCTAATGAGTGCCACCTCTGACCTGGTGACCTAGTGAGTGCCACCTCTGACTTGGTGACCTAGTGAGTGCCACCTCTGACCTAATGAGTGCCACCTCTGACCTGGTGACCGTGAGTGACCATGAGTGCCACTTCTGACTTGGTGACCCAGTGAGGCCACCTCTGACCTAGTGAGTGCCACCTCTGACTTGGTGACCTAGTGAGTGCCACCTCTGACCCAATGGTGCCACCTCTGACCTGGTGACCTAGTGAGTGCCACCTCTGACTTGGTGACCTAGTGAGTGCCACCTCTGACCCAATGGAGTGCCACCTCTGACCTGGTGACCTAGTGAGTGCCACCTCTGACCAATGAGTGCCACTGACTTGGTGACCTAGTGAGTGCCACTCTGACCTAATGAGTGCCACCTCTGACGGTGACCTAGTGATGCCACCTCTGACTTGGACCCAGTGAGACCGACCAATGAGTGCCACCTCTGACCTGGACAGTGAGTGCCACCTCTGACCTAATGAGTGCCACTTCTGACTTGGGGACCTAGTGAGTGCCACCCTGACTTGGTGACCCAGTGAGTGCCACCTCTGACCTAATGAGTGCCACCTCTGACTTGGTGACCTAGTGAGTGCCACCTCTGACCTAATGAGTGCCACCTCTGACTTGGTGACCTAGTGAGTGCCACCTCTGACCATGAGGCCTGACCTGGTGACCTAGTGAGTGCCACCTCTGACTTGGTGACCTAGTGAGTGCCACCTGACTTGGTGACCTAAGTGAGTGCCACCTCTGACTTGGTGACCTAATGAGTGCCACCTCTGACGGTGACCTAGTGAGTGCCACCTCTGACCTAATGAGTGCCACCTCTGACCTGGTGACCTAGTGAGTGCCACCTCTGACTTGGTGACCTAGTGAGTGCCACCTCTGACCTAATGAGTGCCACCTCTGACTTGGTGACCTAGTGAGTGCCACCTCTGACCTGGTGACCTAGTGAGTGCCACCTCTGACTTGGTGACCTAGTGAGTGCCACCCTGACCAATGAGTGCCACCTCTGACTTGGTGACCTAGTGAGTGCCACCTCTGACCTAATGAGTGCCACCTCTGACTTGGTGACCTAATGAGCCACCTCTGACTTGGTGACCTAGTGAGTGCCACCTCTGACTTGGTGACCTAGTGAGTGCCACCTCTGACCTGGTGACCATTGAGCACCTCTGACCTGGTGACCCAGTGAGCCACCTGACCTGTGACCGTGAGCCATGACCTAATGAGTGCCACTTGAGGCCACTGACCTATGAGTGCTGACCTTGAAATGAGTGCCACCTGACCTGGTGACCAGTGAGTGCCACCTGACCTAATGAGTGCCACTGACCTGGTGACCCAGTGAGTGCCATCGACTTGGTGACCAGTGAGTGCCACCTGACCTAATGAGTGCCACCTCTGACTTGGTGACAGGAGTGCACTGACCTAATAGGCCACTCTGACCTGGTGACCAGTGAGTGCCATCTGACTTGGTGACCTATGAGTGCCACCTCTGACCCAATGAGTGCCACCTCTGACCTAGTGACCTAGTGAGTGCCACCTCTGACCTGGTGACCTAGTGAGTGCCACCTCTGACCTTAGTGCACCTCTGACCTGGTGACCAGTGGTCCCGACTCGTGACCTAGTGAGTGCCACCTCTGACCTATGAGTGCCACCTCTGACTTGGTGACTGAAAGAGTGCCACCTCTGACCTGGTGACCTAGAGTGCCACCTCTGACCTGGTGACCTATTGAGTGCCACCTCTGACCTGGTGACCTAGTGAGTGCCACCTGACTTGGTGACCTAGTGAGTGCCACTCTGACCTAATGAGTGCCACCCTGACTTGGGACCTAGTGAGTGCCACCTCTGACCTAATGAGCCACTCTGACTGGTGACCAGTGAGGCCACCTCTGACCTAGTGAGTGCCACCTCTGACCTGGTGACCTAGTGAGTGCCACTTCTGACTTGGTGACCCAGTGAGTGCCACCTCTGACCCAATGAGTGCCACCTCTGACTTGGTGACCAGTGGATGAGTGCCACCTCTGACTTGGTGACCTAGTGAGTGCCACCTCTGACCTGGTGACCTAGTGAGTGCCACCTGACCTAATGAGTGCCACCTCTGACTTGGTGACCATGTGTGGTGCCACCTGGATCTGACCTGGTGACCTGGGGGCCACCTCTGACTTGGTGACCTAGTGAGCCTGACTAATAGTGACTTGTGTGTGAGTGCCCGTGACTGGTGCCACTCTGACCTATGAGTGCCACCTGACTTGGTGACCTAGTGAGTGCCACCTCTGACCAATGAGGCCACCCCTGACCTGGTGACCTATGAGTGCCACCTCTGACCTGGTGACCTAGTGAGTGCCACCTCTGACGCCGTGAGTGCCACCTGACCAATGAGGCCACCTCTGACTTGGTGACCTAGTGAGTGCCACCTCTGACCTGGTGACCTAGTGAGTGCCACCTCTGACTGTGAGTGCCACCTCTGACCATGAGTGACCTTGGTGACCTAGTGGCCACCTCTGACCAATGAGTGCCATCGACCTGGTGACCGGTGCACTCGGGAGTGATGCCACCTCTGACCTATGAGTGCCACCCGACCTAGTGAGTGCCACTTGACCTGTGACCAGTGAGCACCTCTGACCTGGTGACCTAGTGAGTGCCACCTGACTTGGTGACCCAGTGAGTGCCACCTCTACCTAATGAGTGCCACCGACTTGGTGACCCAGTGAGTGCCACCTCTGACCTAATGAGTGCCACCTGACTTGGTGACCTAGTGAGTGCCACCTGACCCAATGAGTGCCACCTCTGACTGGACCCAGTGAGTGCCACTTGACTTGGTGACCTAGTGAGTGCCACCTCTGACCTAATGAGTGCCACCTCTGACTTGGTGACCTAGTGAGTGCCACCTCTGACCTAATGAGTGCCACCTCTGACCTGGTGACCCAGTGAGTGCCACCTCTGACCTGGTGACCTAGTGAGTGCCACCTCTGACTTGGTGAGAGGTGCCACCTGACTGGACCTAGTGAGTGCCACTCTGACCTGGACCTAGTGACCACCTCTGACCTAATGAGTGCCACCTCTGACCTGGTGACCTAGTGAGTGCCACCTCTGACTTGGTGACCTAGTGAGTGCCACTCTGACCTAATGAGTGCCACCTCTGACCTGGTGACCTAGTGAGTGCCACCTCTGACCTGGTGACCTAGTGTGAGTGCCACTCTGACCTATGAGTGCCACCCTGACCTGGTGACCTAGTGAGTGCCACCTCTGACCTGGTGACCTAGTGAGGCCACCTCTGACCTGGTGACCTAGTGAGTGCCACCTCTGACCTGGTGACCTAGTGAGTGCCACCTCTGACCTAGTGAGTGCCACCTCTGACCTAATGAGTGCCACATATTATCTTCTTCTCTTCTCTTCTCTTGTTTGTCTCCTCTTTCTCAATATACGAGTATTTATTTGTTGTTATTATTATTATTATTATTATTATTATTATTATTATTATTATTGTTGTTATTATTGTGAATTATTATTAGTAGTAGTAAGATCAAAATCACCACCACCACTATCACCACTACCACCACCACTACTACTACCACCATCACCACTACCACCACTGTCACCACAACTACCACTACCACCACCACTACTACCACCATCACCACCACAATAGATACAAAATAAAGACCAGAATCTGTCAGGTATAATCCCCCCAACCACCTGTTAATTAGTCGATCCATGGCAGGTAAAAGATTAATTGGGATTATATAAATTATTATGAATTATCGTGTTAATTTCAGTTCCTGTTTTAGTGTTACTGGTGTGTGTGTGTGTGTGTGTGTGTGTGTGTGTGTGTGTGTGTGTGTGTGTGTGTGTGTGGGGGTAGGGGTTGAGAGAGAGAAATGTGAACCCTCACCACTACCACAAAACACTCTCTCTCTCTCTCTCTCTCTCTCTCTCTCTCTCTCTCTCTCTCTCTCTCTCTCTAGCTGTTTTCCTTAATAAAACTTTTTCCTTCGTCAATGGAGATAGATGAGGTGTGAAATGTGGTCTCTCTCTCTCTCTCTCTCTCTCTCTCTCTCTCTCTCTCTTCTCTCTCTCTCTCTCTCTCTCTCTCTCTCTCTCTCTCTCTCTCTCTCTCTCTCTCTCAAACCATCCGTACCATACTGAGAATATTCACTACCATCCACCAACCACACCATCCACCAACCACACCATCACCCAACCACACCATCACCTACACACCATCACCCAGCCACCATCCACCAACCACCATCACCCAAACACCATTAACCAACCACACCATCACCCAACCACACCATTAATCAACAGACGACCATATTAACCCCCCCTCCTCCCCCCACTACCAGGCGACCTACTTGGACATCAGGCCCCGACCAGAACCCAACCAAGAGACTCTACCAGAAATAGGACAGCGAATCAGACTCTCAGAGGGTGACATCTCCCAGACCAACCTACTTTATAAGTGTCCAAGTGAGTAATCTGTCGTTTGTAAGTGTATAAGTGAGTGTCTGGGGGTTATAAATTTTCAAGTCAATATCTGGGGTTTTAAGTGTTTAAGTGAGTAATCTGGGGGTTGTAAGTGTGTGTAAGTAAGTGTCTGGGGTTTTTAAGTGTGTATAAGGGAGTGTCTAGGGGTTGTAAGTGTTTAAGTGAGTACATGGTCTTTGTAAGTGTGTTTAAGTAGATGGGATTTTATCTTAAGTCTATCAGTGCCTCAGAGGGTTACTTATGGTGCTATATAAGTGTTTTCAACTGAGTATCTAGGATTTAAAAGTGTTTTAGTAAGTGACTTGATATTTTATAAGTGCCTAAAGAGTACATTTGAATTCATAAGTGTTCGAGTAAGAAGCTGTCTATCTTACTTACATGTGTCTTAAGTAAGTGTCCATAGTAAGTGTTAGTACTTTTGTAAGTGTCCAAGTGAGTTAGCAGTGTTCATCTTACTTTATAAGTGTCCTGGGTATTAAGTTCTGTTCTCAAACTTATCTTCTTTCTAAGTATTAGTGTACTACTTCAGTTAAGTGACATATACTTTTAAACTTGTCTACAGATTTAAGTAACTTTTATTGCTAAGCTTAAATAAATCCTCTTGTTGCTACGTCTTACCTCTCTCTCTCTCTCTCTCTCTCTCTCTCTCTCTCTCTCTCTCTCTCTCTCTCTCTCTCTCTCTCTCTCTCTCTCTCTCTCTCTCTCTCTCTCTCTCTCTCTCTTAACCTCCGAGTGCTGTATTATCCTGTAGAAGTTCCCGGCTTGGTGGTGGAGTATTTTTATCGCCTACAATAACACGGAAAGACACGGGAAGAGTTTAATTTGACCTAACCTAACTCTAACCTAACCTAACCTAACCTAACTCTAACCTAACTCTAACCTAACCTAACCTAACCTAACCATAACCTAACTCTAACCTAACCTAACCTAACCTAACCTAACCTAACCATAACCTAACTCTAACCTAACTCTAACCTAACTCTAACCCAAACCCAACTATAACCTAACTCACAACTCAACCATAACCTAACCATAACCTAACCTAACCTAACCTAACTCTAACTCTAACCTAACCTAACTCTAACCTAACCTAACTCTAACCTAACTCTAACCTAACTCTAACCTAACCATAACCTAACCTAACCATAACCTAACCTAACTCTAACCTAACCTAACCTGTGTCTTGGAGTGTTACTTTTTACTTTGCATATTACTTAATACGTTTTACTACTTTTAAACTTTTTTACTTTTATACTTAATACTTTTTACTTTTGTTATAATTTATTTGTCTATTGGTAATTAATTCCCTCTTTTATAAATGATAATTATGAGAGTAATTAAATATGATAATTATTAGGGCTTTTTGGTGGTGGTTAGAGTTTGTTTTGTTATTGGGGGCTGTTGTTGTTGTTGTTGTATTTTGTTTATGTGTGTGTGTGTGTGTGTGTGTGTGTGTGTGTGTGTGTGTCAGTCCTAGTAGATGTCTTCTCTACCATCAACTAGTAAATTCACACACACACACACACACACACACACACACACCAATATTTCCTCTTCATTTCTACCTGATTTAATTTCTGGAGGTAACTATCAGAGTAATGATGACGTAGGTAGTTGGTGTTAGAGATTTTAATTGGTATTTAATGATAGAGTCTTATTAATTACACAGTTTAATGGGTCTTTAATTAGATATTTATTAAGGACAGGCACTGGGCAGAATAAGATGTTTGTAAATTCACTTAATAATTAATTCCTTAAATGTTTACTAATATAATAATTTTAGTACTTATATTTTTACTTATACTTAATGTTAATAAATCATAGGATATCACAATGCCCACACCACCCCCACAATATGCCCACACTGATCTACATCACGCCCATACTGACCTACATCACGCCCATACTGACCTACATCACGCCCACACTGACCTACATTACGCCCACACTCACCTACATCACGCCCACATCGACCTACATCACGCCCACATCGACCTACATCACCCCCCTCACGCCACCCACAACACCCCCCCCCACACACCCACCCACCGACCCACAACACAATATAATGGGCCATTTACACAAATTTACCCACACACATATCATATTATATAATTACTTAACCAGCTTATGGGCTTCAGTGTAATAATGAATTTTATTGTGGGAGGAAATTACTACGGCCAGGTTAGGTCAGGTTAGGTCAGGTTAGGTTGTTGATTTAATTAATGCAAACCCGGACGCGTATTTTTTTAGTTTTTACGTAGTTAGATTAATCGTGTTTTTTAATGTACTATTTGTTAATGATGTTTAGGGGTATTGTGTTGTGTTGTGGTGTAGTGTTGTGGTGTAGTGTTGTGGTGTGGTGTGTTGTGTTGTGGTGTTGTGGTGTAGTGTGTGTGTGTGTTGTGTTGTGTGTTGTGGTGTAGTGTTGTGGTGTGTGTAGTGTTGTGGTGTAGTGTTGTGGTGTAGTGTTGTGTTGTAGTGTTGTGTTGTATGTTGTGTTGTGTGTAGTGTAGTTGGTGTTTGTGTGGCGACCTGTGGTGTAATGGTCAGCATGCTCGCCTCTCAAGCGAGTGGACCGGGGTTCGATCCCCGGGCAGGGTGAAACTATGGGCAAGTTTCTTTACGCCATTTGCCTCTGTCTGCCCAGCAGTAATTGGGAACCTGGATGTTGAACGATTTGTGGATCGTGTTACGGGGTAATGATTAGCCAGTGCAGTTGACGAGTTGTCCGGTCTTCTCAGACTATTCCTTGACACTGTGTCATGCAACTCGTTAACTTAGGGTGTGGTTGTTGTGTTGGAGACAGCTTCTACACCTTTAACAAATTCACCCCTAGGTGGCCCTTGGGCCGGCCATCCTCGTTACATGAGGGGTAACCATTGTTTTATATATATATATATATATATATATATATATATATATATATATATATATATATATATATATATATATATATATATATATATATTTATATGGTTAATTATGCATACATACTGTATACAGTAGACGTGTTGTGTTGTGTGTGTGTTAGTGTTTCTGAGTGTAAGTGTGTTTGTGTGTGTACGTTTTGAAAATTCCAAGCTGAAATATGGCAGGGAGGTGCGTGTGGCCTCGGGGATGATCATCCACTACCTCCTCTCCTTCCTCGATGGTGGGAGGTAGCCTCTCACCTCTACCACCCCTCACAGGTCTCTTGTGTACATTAGGAAGAACTTAAGGATTTTGTTTCATTAATAACTAGGACGAACCTGAGTACCTAAGCTGGATGTTGTTGTTCTTGTTATTATTGTTGTTGTTATGGTTAGTAGTTTGGTTATTATTATTGTTGTTGTTATTATAATTGCAGTTATTGTTGTTGCCATTGTTGTTTTCATTGTTATATTATTATTATTATTATTATTATTATTATTATAATTATTAATATTATCATTATTATCATTATTATTATCATTATTATTATCATTGTTATAACTCAGTATGGCTACACCTCCCCTCTCCGCGTTAGTCTTGTCCATTAAGTCATGTCTTCTCATGTCTTAAGACGGTGTCATTTTACTTAGACATGATCCATTATTAATAGTCTCTTGAGTCTCCCCTCACCCTCTCCCCTCAGTGTAATGGAGAGCCTGCCACTCCCTTCATTCTTCCTCTCAGTCATACTTCCCCTCACCTCATTCTTCCCCTCACCTCATTCTTCCCTCCCCTCCTAACAGGTTCATCACGTGTGTTCTCCTTCCCCTCTTCTTATCCTCGTCTTCCTCTCTCTCCTTACCTCTTCCTCCCTGTCATCAGTCAGTTTTCCCCTCACACAGCTTTTATCATGAGTGTCGACCTCTTCCTCTCTTCTTCTTCCTCCTTCTTCGTCTTCCCTCTCCCTTTTCTTCTGTTTCCTTCTCCTCCTTTGTTCTTCCATCTCTTCTCTTCTTTCATCTATTTTGCATTTTTTCTCTTTCTCTCCTTCATTCTCTTTATCTCCCCTTCCTTTTCTCTCTCTCCTTCTTTCTTGTTTCTCTTTCCTCCTCCCTTCATCATTTTCTTTTTACTCTTGTTCTTCCTCTTCCTCCCCTCCTCCTCTTCCTCCTTCTCCCTGTATCGTTATTCTTATTTTTCTTCCATTTATTAAACTTTATCTCTCGTCTCTTCCTAATTTTCTTTCTTATGATTCTCTCATATGTTTCCCCTCTTCTCCTTCTCATCATTTTATATAACTCTCTCTCTCTCTCTCTCTCTCTCTCTCTCTCTCTCTCTCTCTCTCTCTCTCTCTCTCTCTCTCTCTCTCTCTCTTCTCCTCCTGGTCTTCTAGAAGTGTATTGGAGGAAGGCCTTGGAGAACAGGGCGATTAAATGTCTCTTTTTGATCTCCTAGATTAGTTTTGGAGTTGAGCTTTGGAGATCACAATTGTGTCCTCGTCTCCTAGAGTAGGTTAGGTCAGGTTTGGTTAGGTTAGGTCAGGTCAGGTCAGGTCAGGTCAGGTCAGGTCAGGTTAGGACACCACAACCCTCAGAATATCTCCAAATAACCCCTCCCCCTCCCCCCTCCGTAAATCACCACTCCCTTGATCTCCTACAGAGTGTGGGAGAACCTACCAGGAGAACGCGGCCATGTTCTCCTCTCCGTCATACGTCAACTCTGCGCCGCCGCCCGGAGGAGAGAAGTGTGAGTGGCGGATTACGGCGACGCATGGTGAACGTATCGTACTGAACGTCACCACAATGGATATTTTCAAGAGTGACGGATGCAAGACGGATTACCTGGAGATACGTGATGGATATTGGCACAAGAGTCCATCCCTTGGTGAGTACTGACACTTTCTTGGTGAGTACTGGCCGCTACCCTTGGTGAGTACTGGCTCTTCCCTTTATTCCTCCCTTGGTGAGTACTGGAACTCTTATCCCTCCCTTAGTGAGTGAGGGAGAGGGTAAGAGATGGGGATTAAGGTGATGGAGTTGTTGTGGTGGGATGAGTGGTGAGGGGGAGGGGGTGAGAGTAAATTAGTGAGAGTGATCGCAATTTTGTCTCGGGAAAAAAAACAACAACAATGGTGTTCATCCTGGAGGAAAAAATATTCTCTCCTGTATGTAAACTAAGTGTATCTTTGTCCATCCTGGAAAAACAAACAATGGCTCTCTCTTTTTTCTCTCTCTCTCTATTTGTACCAACCTTTGTTCATCCTGGTAAAATAAATGGATCTCCCAAGGCCGTATCCTGGTTAAATCTTCCTCGTCCTGGTAAAGAGAAAAATAGTTGGCTCAGGATAACCTTGCTCCTCCTGGAAAATAAAACAAAGGAGTTGTGTTCAGTATATCTCTTGTATTTTGTTCGTCCTGGTGAAAAAAGATGGTCATGGTGTACCCTGATAACTTACTCGTCCTGGGGATAAAAAACAAAAATTTGTCACTGATGGTCTAGTTCATCCTGAGGAAAAAAAACTTCTTTTTCTTTTAGACAAGCTTACCATGACAACAGAAAATCGTGTGAAGCGGCTTTAATATACGATTAGGAACACCTGAAGTCTAGCCACCCCAGCTTAGGTTAGTCAAATTAGGTTAAGTTAGCATTGGTTAGGTTAGATTAGTTTGGTGTTTGGTTAGGATAGCGTTAGGGGGGTTAATCTTAAGGTGAAATAAGCCAGGGGACTAATCTTCATGTAATCCACGAAATTATAACCAAGAACGGAAACTCAAGTCAAGAAGTGGAGTACTTTGGCTAACGTGGCAGCGCTCGTGTCCAGTGCTGCCATCTATAGTGTGTGGCCAGCGTTTATACTCTTCCCTCCTCGCAACTTTTAAGAGGTCGTTTATATGAATTTTTATCTGTTATAGGAATTTATTGTCGGGGAATGTGTGGTAATCTCTTGAATTGTGAGGAAGCTGTGATTTAGAGAGCGTGGATGTTGAGAGGAGGGGGGAATTGAGGCAACATGGAGGATATGACGTCATGTTAGTGCTGCCATCTGGGGGTCGTATCCGGAATCTTCTCTCTCTCTCTCCTGATGTTGTTGGAACGAGTCATTGAACTGCTGGAACGATTCTCCCAAAAATAGATGGCTCTTTAGTATCTCAATTAGGGTACTGTACAGTTTCGACCAAAGATGTAGAGAAACTTTTGAACCATAACTGTACAATAACGTTTATTACCTGTTACATAATCGAGGTGTGAGGATACCCTAGGCTACAGAGTGTTACGCCACTGGTATTTAATCTACAGAATATCTCAAGGACAAATAATTACGGTATTTATCACGTGAGGAAAAAGAAATTTGCATATCGAATCTGCTTTATATTATAGATTACCTGATGATTGCTCCCTCCCCCCTACCTGGTTATTTCACCCCACCTAACCTAACCCCACCTCACCCAACCCCACCCCACCCCACCTCACCTAACCCCACCTCACCAAACCTAACCTAACCCAACGAGTATTTTCATAATCTTGGTGAAGGGAAGAATGGCGGACCAGCGAGAGAGAGAGTGTGTTTATAATCTTAAGCGATCAAAAACTCTTTATAAGGCTCCTCAACCCTCGACTGTACCCTTACAAAAAGTGACCCTCTATATAAAGGTGTACTCCCATCTCCTCCTCCCAGGTAGCCAACATACCTGAACACACCTGTAATTTGCTTGCGTCAGAACTCCCAGGAAATTTATATTCATTATACGTAAGAAGTCATGTTTGTGGGGAGGGTCTGTTGGGGGTAGATATAGGTGTATGTATGTGTATGTATGTGTGTGTATGTGTATGTATGTGTGTGTGGGGCATACAACATACACTAGATGATGTATGAGGGTTAAGTTTGCTGTGAGGTAATGCGGTGGTGTCAAATCTTCAGGTGGTGGCAATGTTGTCAGAGGTAATAGACGTTTACCTACATGACCCTGAAATAGATACCAGCAGATATAGTCCAAAAAAAAAAGTGTCTAGGGAATTTTGACCACATTTCTATATAACAGTGTAATAAGAGACACCATTATATATTCGTGTTCATTAACGACCCATTATTACAGTACCATCGTTAATTATTCAGCACAACTCGACAATATTTTCATTACTAATCCATCATTTTCTTAAACTGGTAATTTTAGCTGGAAATATGAACGCTTAACTATCCCGTAATTAGCAGAAACCTCGTCTGGGCCAATTTTTAGCCGGGAATTGGCAATTACACCACCAACAGCGGCGATTATCATGTATTAAGAATGCAGTTAACCGCCTTTATTAACCTCCCGGTGTGGTAGATAGTAATATTTTTGTTGTTGTTGTTTTAGTGTAATTGATGGATGATGGTGGGTGAAGGGTGAGGGGGTGGTGGTCAGGCTGGCTCCCTTCTTTTCCCCCTTTCCCCTTCCTTATTTCTTATTTCTCCTTCCTTATTCCTCTTTCTCTTTCTTCCTTCTTTCTTTCCTCCTCTTCCTTCTTCCTCTTTTTTCCATCCCCCCTCCTCCTCCTCTTTCTCCTTCCCCTTCCCTTCCTTCTTCCTTCCCTTCCTCTTCCTGCCTCTTCCTCAATCACCTCTAATTCTCCTCCTTCCTCCTTCTCCTTTCTGTCCCCTTACCTCCCCTCTAGCCCCTAACCCTCCCTCCCCTCCTCTCCTCTCCTCCCCCCCCCTCTGGGTGGCTCCTTTGCGAGAACCACAAGAGTGGTTGAGTCAGTCTCTCAGGAAGTGTTGAGGGGGTGAGAGACAGGTGGTGAATGGGTGGGTGAGGTGAGCCAGTCTCCTGCTCTTGGGCTGATGTGCTTTTTTCCGGAAAGGTGTGAGAATGTTTTGAGAATCCGGCCACACACAGACAGACTGGAACAGACAGACACAGACACAAACAGACAGACAATTGTAATTGTTACCTTATCATTGGATACAAAAAACCTAAATTTAAATAATTTAATTAAATATGTCAAATAATTATAACATCAAATTAGATCTCGTAATTCTAGAGCATATTAGTTTTCATCGTGGTGAAAAATTAATTAATATTGTATCGTTGAGCATCATTTTAGTACTAAAACTTGGATCTTTTAAGACTTAGGTATGGTGATTAATAGCAGGAACTACTGGGGTTAATGGCTTAGAAGTTATGTGAGGATGAATTTCATAACCTATACTGAACTTAACCTCTGACCTTACATGACCTAACATTAACCCAATCTAACATTAACCTAACTATTTAACCTAATCTAACATTGGCAACGTAACCTTAATCTAACATTAACTAACCTAATCTAACATTATCTAACCTACTTCTTCTTCTTATCTTTAACCTGGCAACCTTCGTTCATCGTTAACTGAGGAACAGGGCAGACTACAGACAGACAGACAAGAGGTGACTGGTTTATCATCGTTGTACGTGACGATAAGAAGACATTAAGACATGTTATGGTTGTGTCTTGGTGGCTGGCGGCTTGTCTTTGACCGCAGAGGGGGGGGGAGGTGTGGGGTGTAGGGGAGGAGGTGTGGGGAGAGTGTGTGGGGTGTGTGGGAGAGTAGACTTTACCTTCGCTATGCATTACTGTGTTGGACTGACCGAGTGACTGATGGCTGACTGACTGGTTGGCTTAGTAACTGGCTTTTATTTTGAAGAAATTTAGGGGAGGTTGTAGTAGGTGGGTTAACAAAATCCCATCAACCATAAAACAAATCCTATCAACCATAAAATAAAGAAAATCCCATCAACCATAATAAACAAAATCCATCAATCATAAAAACAAAAAATCCCATCAACCATAAAAAACAAAATCCCATCAACCATAATAAACAAATCCCATCAACTATAATAAACAAAATCCCATCAACCGTAAAAAACAAAATCCCATCAACCATAATAAACAAAATCCCATCAATCATAAAAACAAAATCCCATCAACCACAAAAACAAATCCATCAACCACCAACCATCAACCATATAAACAAAATCCCATCAACCATAAAAACAAAATCCCATCAACCATAATAAACAAAATCCCATCAACCATAAATAAACAAAATCCCATCAATCATAAAAACCAAAATCCCATCAACCATAAAAACAAAATCCCATCAACCATAAAAACAAAATCCATCAAACTATAATAAACAAAATCCATCAATCATAAAAACAAAATCCCATCAATCGTAAAAAACAAAACCCATCAACCGTAAAAACAAAATCAGCAGGTTATATTCGTTAAAATTGATGAATATGTAATCAGTTAAATGGTGTACGTATTTTCTTGTTAGTACGATATCTTAACCCCGTGAGTACGATGACTTAACCCCTTGAGTACGATGACTTAACCCCCTGAGGACGATGACTACGATGACTTAACCTCCTTGGTACATGGCTTACGAGGACGATGATCTTAACCCCGTGAGTACGATGACTTAACCCCTTGAGTACGATGACTTAACCCCCTGAGGACGATGACTTAACCCCTTGAGTACAATGACTTCCAGTAAACGATTACCTGGTCGACCAATAGAAATTACTTTTACATATACTGCCAATTCTCATAGGCTTAGTAGACACGAGATACCCAGGTGACCAATAGTAATTTCAATGGGAAAGGACATGTCGACGGTGATTGGTGGGTGTGCTGGGGGAGGTGTGGGGGGTGAGTGGCGGGTCTATCAATATCAGCAGCCAATTATCTGCTAGTCTTATCCTCAGCGGAGCACCATGTCGCTGGTGATTGGCTCTCACCAGGGATTCCTCGCTTCAGCTTATTGGCATTCACCAGCCAATCAGGATTCTGAATTCACAAAACATTACGAATGTCTACTGTGTACTTGAAGGGTTAAGTCATCGTATTCAAGGTGTTAAGGT